TCAACCAAACGCAAAATAAAGCCATTCTCCCAACCAAAATTTCATAGCAAGCAACATCTGGTTGTTGAGCAGCGAAATTGGCTGTCATGTGGCAGGAGATGCTGACTGTGTGATGCATATATGTATGTAAGTATTCATATATGTGAGCGAATGTACTCGTATAAATATACGTATAACGTGTCTGACTTTTGTTGCTATGAAAGCTGCCTGGCGCCTACAGTCTTAATTTCTTACGCCCAACAAGGCTTAGCATCGGCTACACGACAGAAGTGTTTGTTAAGTGGCAGTAAATAAATGAAAGCCAAAGGGATGCAAAATCTAAAGCCGTGCGATTTTGATGGGTAAACGTGAAATCCTTTGCAAGGCTGTGAGAAGGTTTAACGCTATGGAAACGCAAATTGAAGTACTATATGAACAAATATTTTAGTGCAGAGATTAATTTTTAATTCAGCTCAACTATTCGGTGCAAATTTGCAACGCCTGAATTCCATAGAACATTTTTTAATTAAATTAAAATTTATTTATTGAAATGATTTTCACTTATTATTACCACATTTATATCAACGCGATTACTTGTTTACCCAGATTTCAACGCGAACCGTACAAAAGCTTGGTCCTTAAATGTACAGTAGGGTTTTAGATTTTGAAAATGGTTGCCAGCTGTTAAAAAAAAAATTACGGAAATTATTTAAAATATTTGGAAAATTGTTGCCACCTAATTGAAAAGTCGAATTCCACTAAATTAAACACAAGTTATTTTAATATCAAAATATGAGTGTCAAACGAAAGAGCGTTAAAAAATCTCTAGTTAAAACATTTAGAATATTTTTGAGGTGTTTGAAGATGATTGCCATTTGTGTTAATGTGTATGTAGATTCAAATTATTTAATAAGTTAAAGGAATTTTTAAAATATGTGTATAATAAGAGACGGTTTTGAAAAGTATTTATTTTTAAACTATGTGTAGGAGGGTTGCCATCTGTTTAAAAATTCAAATACAACTTCAATCAGCCGTTAATTGAAGTTCGAATCAAACGAAAATGACTTAGGAAGATTTGAATTTGTAAATAATTTTAAAAGGGGTTTCCTCCACTTTTAAAAGTCGAACTTAGTTAAATTATACAGAAGTTTTATGAATATGTATTGAAATATGAGTGGCAAGAGAAAGGATTTTAAGAAAGCCCTAGTTGTAATATATTTTTAACTAGGGTTGCCACCTATTCCAAATGTCAATTCTATCTAAGTATGTGTATACGTATATTTATATAAGTTGAAAGAGATAATAAATATAAAATTCTTTTCAATATCTATTAAAAAAATGTATACAAACAGACGATGTAGACGACTCAGTGCTATTAAGAATAACAATTGCATACCGAATCGTTTTACAATTAAATTTTTTTTAATTAGAACTAGTAAATAGCCTACTGATGCGCGCCTTGAAAGTATTTTTGTGTTGTTACTCCATTCCCAAAACTTTTATGGCCTCATTGTGAAGTGAAATTTTCAAACAAATGTTAATATATATTCAAGGTACCTAGAAAGTAGGCAAAGTATCGACTTCCCTCAAGGGAACTTAATTTATAGTCTTATAACTCCAGTCAACATATCGCGCACTTTCTTCAAAGGTGAATTAGTTCAACATATATTCCTTTTCTTATCAATTTCACTGAATTAAATTTTTCCAATGGGTGGCAGCCCGCTTCAAACATATTTTCCACAGTTAACTTTCTTAAACCTCTTTATTTTAATACCCTTATTTTAATATTTCAGTTATTTTATCAATTTAATTGCTACAATTTTTCAAACAACTACGACAACTATTTACCGTTATTCAGATGGAAATTATTTCAACTTTCAAATAAATTATAACCAACTTCGGCCTCTCCTCCGGAACATCATTGCTTTTGAATGATGTAATTTGTACTTGCCACACATAGGCACACAAATATAAATGTAAGTACATACAAGCGTACATATTTAGTAGATATACACAAACGCTTCATGGCAAATACTATGCGTAACAAAGCCCATATTTAGAGGGGTCAAAATGTCGTTCTACTTTTAATTAAGTCTCACTTTGGTGTCGCATACAAAAATTATATAGAAAGGAAATAAACCGCAGGACACTTGACTATGTAGAAGCGGATATGGGTATATATGACTGTATATCCATACATACATACATATGTATTTATGAACAAGTGATGGGCAAAATTGTATTTACTAAATATGTACTGAGTACTAAGTACAAAAATATTTAGGTATTTCTGTACCAAAGTAAATATTACTAAATACCGAGATTAATAGTATCTACTTATTTTCGCTGCATTATATATTTAGTGTGTACTTACAAAAGTATACAGGGTGTCCCAGACTACCCGCTCACGCCTTCTAAAATTGAGGAACTTTTTCTTATTAGAAAAGGTAAGAAAATTAATACTCTATCAATAAAAAAAATTTCCCCCATTTTGGAAGTAGAGGACGAGTTAAAGTTCGAAGGCCACTTAGAGGTTGAAAAAGGCACTTCCAAAAAAAAAAGTTTCAAACAAATGTTAAGTATTTTTATCCGTTTAATCCGAATCTGTAGTAAAAACATATATATCTTATTTAAAAAAAATGATTGATTGAAAGTGATTTTCGAGACTACTTGAAAATATTTGGGAATTTTCGAGACTACTTGAAGATTTTCAGGATTCTCGGGATTTTCGAGGCTACCGCGGGACTTTTTGGATTCCTTGATTACTCGGACCCGCTTCGAGATATTCAAACAAATAACCACGTGTTGATTTTCTTTAAATATTCGTAATATTTTTCGAAATAAATTTTCTTGTTATTTTTATATAGAAATATCGTCTAAACTTTAACCAAAACCGTGTAAATCACAGTTCAACAAATTTTCATCAAAATTTCAACTTTTTATTCTGAATTTTTAGAAAATTTTTGGGTATGCAATTTTATAGCCCATGCACTTTTAGTCTAAAGAGGTGTAAATGGCTAAAAAATCGCGTTGGTTTTTGAGAAGTTTTTTTTTGTGACGGCTTTTTGCACTTTTTTTTTTGTGATTTTCTTATGAAATAAAATGCAAGTTTTTGTAAATTGTGCTTTTTATATTAAAAAAGCCGAAAAAGTAGCCTCCAGAAAAGCGTAGGGTTTTGTTTAAAGCTTAGACGATATTTTTATATAAAAATAACAAACAAAAAAATATCTCGAAAAACATGGTCATTTGTTTGTGTCTCTATATGTATGTACATTAGGGTGGGTCGATTATTTTTTTTAGTAAATCGCAAGTTTTTGTAAATTGCGGTTTTTTATTAAAAAAGCCAAAAAAGTAGGCTCCAAAAAAGCTTAGGTTTTGTTTAAAGCTTAGACGATATTTTTATATAAAAATAACAAAAAAGAAATTTATCTCGAAAAACATGGTCATTTGTTTGTGTCTCTATATGTATGTACATTAGGGTGGGTCGATTTTTTTTTTTTAGTAAATCGCATGATATTTTCAGATTCTACAGGAAATTCTAAGCAAAAGTGTAAAAGAAACCATGGGTCGGTAATGAGTTTCGAGCCTGCGCATTTTCAAATGAAAAAATCACATTTTAACAAATTTTAGTTTTTTACATTCCTTGTTGTTTTACATACAATGTATTCGCCTTTTTTTAACTTTCTATATAAAATTTATACATTTAAGTTTCTTAAATTTGTTTTACTTGTTTATTTATCCATTAGTGTTTTTTACAAAAACCATATAAATCCAAATTTCAAACTGTGCAATATTAAAAAAAAATCAACAAATTTTGGCCAAAATTTCGAGCTTCTTAATTCGATGTTTAAGAAATATTATCAGTATGCTCACTCAATTCTAGTGTATAATAAAGTGCAAGCTTGAAGTAGCTGTTAAATGTGTTTCTCATTTTCTCCATATATTTTATATGGAACATACTTTGTATAGAAGAAAAAAGTTGCCAAAAAATAACGGCTCTTCATTTCAATTCAATTCGGTTGACTACAAAACTGTACACTCAAAATCTTTCTAAGAAATCCATAAAATCCAACTTGTCAATATGGTGTGCATTGTGGGGTGTATTTTGGCATCGTAAGTATGGTAAAGAAATGTTATAAACTAAAATTTAGACATTTTGTATCATATACGTACATAGTTGTAACAAAAGGTGAACATGTTGTAAAACTGCCATCGAATGATAAAAAATAAAATTTGATGAAAGTGTAAATTTTTCATTTAAAAATGCGCATTTTCTCTTAGAATTATCTATAAAAATCGAAAATACTACGCGATTTGACGAAAAACTTTCACCCGAACAATTTGGCCTACCCTAATGTAAAAATACAAACAAAACAAAACAAACCAATCTGATGATGATAGAACAATGCGAATGTGACAGTAAAGCATACTGAAAAAAAAATACTATTCATTGTCAACGACTTTCTTTGATTGCACTGAATATCGTGTTGACAATGGCCTTTCTCCAAGCGCACTGCATCATCTTCCAAGTGTTTTACGGCAGCAACGAATGGCGCCAAGTATCTAAATATGTATATACAAATTTTATTTACATATGTTCGTAAATAAATTTATATGAGTGTGCGTGAGTGCATCTAAAAATAGCTAAAACAAAAGGGCTTCAACCAGCTGCCATCCAAATGCGCCAAACATTCGCAATGGCTGCGAATTTGCCAAGCAAAACAAGGGAAATGCAAAAAATGTAGGCTATGCAACATATATGAGTGCGAAAAAAGAGCTCATAATATAGCTCAAAACAAACTCACTCATGCGGGAAATCGTATGCACTCACAAGCCAACCAATACACATACCAACGGGTATTTGAAGCTTTTACTCACACAAAAAGTCTCAACGAAAAAAGCTACCAGCACAGTTGCGTACTCAAAATTGAGTGACTTTGAGCTTTTGCCAAGTTTTTTTTTAGTAACACCAACTTAATAAAGCTTGCCTTTGTGTTTGTGCGAGCAGAAGAAATCTTGGAGCCAGCACATTATTTCCTCTAGTATTCTTTTAATTTCCTTCAGTTCAAAAACCACCGACAAATTGTGTGCTTTGTTTCTCGCTCATACGCTTGGTTGCTCAAACTGTAATGATTCTTTAATCGCGCATTCTTAGCGAGGCAGTGTGCTGAAAAGTCAAACTAAATATATATATCTACTTAAATATCTGTAGTATATGAACCATTGTTCATACGAGTAAAGTAAAAGTCGTGTTTGCCTTTGGTGTTTGTTTTGTGACCTAACCGCCTTCGTCGGTGTACTCTGTGCGGCTTTTTGTGCGCCCAGGTAACCAAAAGAAGCATTGTCGCAATTGTAAAGAAGAAGAAAAGAACCGTGAAAAAGTATTGTAGTGGCCTTCAAAGAAAAAAAAAATTGTATAAAAAGCCGGTTTTTATTTTTGTTTTAGTTTTTAATCTGTTTTGTGCATTTTCATTTTTGGTGGTTTTGTGCGACGCCGTCTGAATTTTAATGTACACACACCAAGAACGAAGAACTGGCTTTTGTTTAAAAGAATAAAAAATAAAAATAGCAAAAAAATAATAATCTACTGCATGTGCTATTACAATAAAAACAATGCGAAAATCTAACGCAAGAAAAAGATTTCGAAAAAGTCTAACGAAATGTGAAATTGCTTTTGGCTGAAATCGCGTTGTTGAAATCTTGTGGGCGTGTGGCAAAGTTTGGCAATTTGAAAGGCAATGAAATCTGAAATAGCTATGCAAATATTTTTAAAAAATTTTGTGTTTATCGAAGAAAAGAGAAAGTAGTTGAAGGATTTCTTAGAGAAATTTTCTTTTATTTGAGATATTACATATTTATACTAATGCCCTTATTATCTTTGCATGTTGACTTTGGTAATATGGTCGCTTGATGTTATACTCTACTTGCGAGGAATTGCCCACTGTATATGTATATTCATTTGAGGACAACCATTTCTCTTTAAATATAAAGTTTTTTGCTGCTCGTCATTCCATCTTCTTCGGTAGAGTAATTCTCTCGAAAGCCTCGAAAGCTTATCATCTTTTTTAGTCGAACTCCATGTATAAAAAGATGGGCATGATGAGAGATTTGCACTACAAATTCTGTAGAGCGTAATCCTCATTCCTCAAATGCTTCGAGGCTAGTGATCCAGCCGACAGTCAATGTTATCTGCATATGTCAGCAGACTAAAGGAGTCGCACGAAAGTCAATCGCCTTGTCTAAATAAAGGTCCTTCCCAATTTGAACAGAGCTAAAGGTTTTGCTCAACGTCACTCTATATAGCTCTATTAATTTTGCGGTGATACCAAAGTTAGACATGCCCACGTATAGGCAACTCCTCTTTGTGATATAAAAAACGGGTTTTCAATCGTCTAAGACAGAGTGAATGTCGATCCTCCACAAGCGGGTCTTTTCCAAGGCTTGAGGTATAATGAATACCTGTTCAATGGTGGATTTACGTCATCATTGCTTAGGGCTCGGGGAATTCGCTAACTCCACAATTGTGACTTTAGCAGTCTGTGTTATCAGGCTAGAGAAGTGTTCCCTAAATATTTTAAATGTACTCTGAACATCTGTCATCAGTTCACCGTTCTTGTTTATACATAAGCTCGACCCGTTCATAAAACCATCTCTTTTCCCTTTTCAACTCTCAACTACGCTCTCGCACCCCCAAAAAAATGATGCCAATACGAATTTAGCCCCATTACATACCCGCCCATCACTGCTCAGTGAAATATTCACCCAGTTTCTGATAGTAGCTCCGATTGCGTATTGGTCCTGGTCTAAACCCATTCGGATTCTCATTCTTCAAAATGCTCTCTTATGATCTGGCAACCAGAATAAAACAATTCCATTATGTCCACACTTTTGGCGGTTGGTTCCGTAAATAAAGTGAAGCTTTGGTATCAGTGCAGATTCTGAAATGTCTAAGCCTGGTTGCAGTCAGCCTCACTGACCACCTACTCCGTCAACTGCCGCTTCCTTACACCCTGCATCATTACTTTTCAGTTTCCAAGTGCCTTTAAGGGACTCCCCGACAAAAAAAGGCACCAAGTTTCAATAAGTGTAGCAATAAGATAAGATAAGTCTGGTCAGAGAGGTAATACTTCGTAAGATTTCTCTGCGTGGCAGGTCCCCGTCTTACTAATGCCCGGCTTATTTGACTTTGGAAGTGTTTTATTTCACATGCGAAGCTTCTTTGCAACTACTTTTATCTAGGGTCTCGGTCACTCCATTCTCTCCACAACAAGCATTCCTGCTGACAACGCAGGCCTGTCCTCAAAATGGTGAAAGAGGATTTTCGGCAAAATTTTCTGTTATCGAAAAAATCTCCTTAAATCCCTTGAAATGGCAGTTATGATTTTTATATATCCGAGTACGCATGAATAGTTATTCATAAAAATTCCTTTATATGAGAGCAATTCAAATGGAAATTCAATTAATTTTCGAGCGGTTTGCGATTTGAAATTCCAGTGCAAAAAAAAATTTCCATAGCAATGAATCAGTGCTTGTTTACCTCGCATCTGTTTAATTTCATTATGGCCCAATTAAATGCTTGGCACGTAGATATGTGTACCTATATAAAAATATAAGGACGTAGATATGTATGTACATTAGACTTATGACTTTTTTCCAAAATTAAATATACATTTGAGGATGAAAACCCAACAAAAGTAGCTTCTTTTTTTTAATTCGGTAAAAACAAGTTCTCACTGGGAACTGGTAGATACATTAGAATGTCCCAAAAATCAAAAGTGTTTTTTTTTTTTTAACGAATACCCTCTTATTGATTTTGTTTTAAAAACTATTCGAATAAAATTTTATGCAATTCGGACCACGGCATCCCGTGCCGACTTGAGAATAAGCTTAATTCAGTACGCATGTTTTGTTAATTTGCTCATTTTACATCTGTATAAGATGGTATATTACTATGCTCCCTACAGTATACAGGGCATACTGTTTGATGTATTACTGTTTAGTATGTCTTCGTTTTTGAATTTTTAGCAGGTCGTCAGGATTTTTTTCAAAAGACCATAACTTATAATACATATATACACAGCTGGCAAAAAGTGTTGGCACAGCAAATTTTTCACAATATATGCAACAAATTTTTTTCTAATATTTTTCCGCAATTTTTTTTTAAAAAGAAATGTTTCATTCTGCAACAAAGAACATAAAAATAGAATTCCCAAACTTTGTGCAAAACTCAGGAAAATTCAGCAAATTTTCAAATTTTTAATCAAATTTTTTAGAATTTTTTTGAGTATTTAGATTTGTTTCCCAATTAATTTTATTATAATATAGCACAAGTTTTAAGTAGCTAGGCATTACCGTGGATTTTTGCCAATTTTTTTCACGCAGTCTCTTCCATACAAAAAAATTTCCAAAATACTTTATAAGAAAAAAATGCAAAACACCTTCAACAAAAAAAATTCTCAAAAATCAATTTTTTACTAACTCCGAATTCCGATTTTTTTTACTAGAATTTGATAGCTGTAAAACTGCATACTCAAAAAAATTAAAAAAAAAATTTTAAATTTGCCGAATTTTCGCGAGTTTAACACAAAGTTTAGGAACTATATTTTTATGGTTTTTGTTGTAGAATGAACTATATTTTTATAAAAAATTGGCGGAAAAATATTATAAAAAAAAATGTTGCATATATTGTGAACAATTTGATGTGCCAATATTTTTTGCCGGCAGTGTATATTTAAAAAAGTTTACTTAAAATATAGATATATGGGTATCAATTGAAAGAAGAATTCGAAACAAGATTAGTTATAAATTTTGTTTTCAATCATCCTCTCAGAAAATATATGATCCCTCAAGATTTTTAATTCGGAATGCGTTTTGAAAAATCTTAATTTAATTTAAATCCTATGAATATATGTCAGAATATTAAAGAATAAAAATTTCATAGGATATTTTTCAAATTTTTTACTACACTTAAAAGCATAAATATCGAGGGTATGCATATCAAAATTTACTAAAAAATTGTTTATCATATATTCTCGGGGCATTCTAATGTACATGGGAAAATCTAAAAAAATGGTATTTTCATTGTTTTAAACTATATCAACCTTCCCTTTAAAAAATTTTCTGATTGCTCAGAATTTGTGAGTCTAAAATGAGTCTTTCTTTCGTCATAAATATGATTCTGATACCAGTCTCTGAGACTGACTCATTTCGGACTCTCTTGGTGTCATGAACTATGAGTTGAAGAAAAATAACAAAATTCACGTAGGAGTAAAAGTTTATTAAGAATCAGAAATATAAATAATATTTTTTTTTTAAGACTCAGAAAGCGGCATATTTAAATTTAATAATTAACTTGTATGCTCTTTTCTGACTCTTTTTTGAGATCACAATGAGGGTTACAACTCAGAATTCTGAGACTTTTCTAACTCTAAAATGAGTCCGAATGTTTATAGGGTTGTTGCTTTTGGATACAAATGATATTTGTAAAAATGTATTTAACAAAGTGTGACTGAATTTGACATTGCTCTCCCAAGAACCATTCTATAATGTCAAATTGAAAAAAAAAAAAATTATCAATTTCGAATCGTTTGTTTATATTTTAATACCACTTACTTGTAAACTTTAAGCCTGCAAAATTTTTTAATGAATTTTTTGAATAACTTTTGAATTATAGGTTCGTAAAAAAAAAAATTAAAAAACAGTGAGTTTTTGTAATTTTTAAGAGGTGAAAAATTAATGATGCCATTTGCGTGCAATTCGTAATTATGTGTACACTTCATATGTAGTGGTAAGAAAAGTGTGCATTAAAAAATAAGTAAATGCTAACTAACTCAATGTGGGTAACTCTACCTTTCACAATTTTCCAAATTTTCGGCTTATCGCGTATAGTTTTTGAAGCATTATATTTTAAAAACATTTTAAGTATGTACTGTATTCCACAAAAAATTCACACACACAAATCGACAATCTTAAGCGTAATTTTCATTCCAACGATATCTTAATTGAAGGAAAATTTGGAAAATTCGTCAAAACTGTCTAAATACTTTTGTAACTACTATTCCTTATAATAGTATGTATTACATATACATGTAAAATGCTTCAAAATTTTTACTAGAATTAAAAAATGAAATGGGGGAGGTTTTTATTGGTGCTATAAGATAAATAGTTAATAAAAGAAAATGGTTAAATAAACAATTGGGTATTGTTTTTGGAAGTCTCCTGAAGAGAAGCGAAGTTTTCCGATCGGAAAATTTTGATTTTCAAGAATTCCATACCATTTCTACGAAAACCTGTTTTTTCCCCATATAAAATATATGGAAAACTTTGAGCGCTTTGAGCGACCTCTATATATTTCTGAATCTCAAAATAATAAATTATGACTTTTTTCGGATAGAGGGGGTGAGAGAATTAAAATTTCGACTTTAATTCTTTTTTTTTGGACCACCCTAATGTACATACGAGTATAAATGCGTTTTTCAGTAAAATTTTTTTCTCTGAACTTTTTTACTGAAATTTTACAAAATCGTTATTTTTGTTGGTTTTTCATCATTTTTAATTTCACAAAATAATCATATGTCTAATGTACAAATGCATAGCTAGCATACCAATCCAAACCAACGCTCCCACAATCGCCACACAGATTCATAGATTGTCAGTATGTAAATGTTAGTAAGGTATCTAACAACAACGGCCACTTGTTGGCGAAATGACCAGGGACAGTGCGTGCTTTTGACACTCAAAGCGATGACCGACGGAAAGGCAGTGATTTTGTGTACCTGTGTGTGCTCACATGTTTGGGGGTAAATGCTTAATTAATGCCTTTCTTTTGCCACTTTGTCTGCCACCTACCACCTTCCAACCACTTACATGTACCCTCCATATGTATGTATGTATGTATATGTAACTGGATATGGACCGTTACCACCTCGATTTATGTGAGCGGTAATTAATTGACTTTGATTGCCTGCAAATTGCAGATACTAAATGGTAATCGTCATATATAACAACAATAAAAAGGAATATTTACATACATGAAAAATAAACAAAAACACAGCCATACATAGATATACGCACACAAACAACTAAACAGCATTACAGCGAATAAAAACACTTTTTACACAGTGTTCATATAAAGCAGCATCACAAAGACAACGCAGCGAAAATGAGGTGAGCTGAGAAATTGGGTCAATATCAATAGCAATAACAACAACAACGATATAAATAAAAACGACAATCAAAAATAGTGTACGACAACGCGCGAGGACCACGATAAACAAATTTGATTCGCAACATAAATTTTCCCAACAAATGCTTAGTCTCCTCCGACAATTGTTGCCTACCGAACGCGAACAAAATTTCGAAAAATATTTCGAACAGTTTTAAGGCAAAAACGACAACGACAACAACAACATTCTATAAATTCAAATACGCGCACTTTTGGCATCGACTGTGACGACAGCTACCGTTTGGCGATAGGCGATTGGCGATGCGCACACGTCGCCACGCGAAAATTGCATTAATGTCTTGCTGCCTCGGCTCGTCGGACGATGTGTATGTCTACTTGTTTGACGTCTGTGTCACGCCCACTTTACTGGCACGCAGGCAAATATTGTTTTAGTTGTTGTTGTTGTTTAACACTAACTCAATTGGTGAATGGCACTAACATTTTGATTGTTCTATTTTTAATTTCTAATTTGTAAAAAAATAAGCTAAAATTTCTAATTTTGCAGCTCAAGCACATTCATGTTTGGATTTGTTCTTTCGTTTAACGAAGAAACCGTATTTTTAGAGTTAATAGCAATTATAATAAAATTTATTAAACAATTTTAGCTTTAAGATATTTTTGCCAAATAAATAGAACCAATTTGGACATTGTAAAAGCTACAGCCCGGAAGTATAATGACATTTGGAATGCTGACTTCTCCAGGACTGACAAAGCTCCTTTTAAGTGGCATGGTTCAAGTTAACTCGGTCCTTCAGCTTGAGGTGTATGCTATTGAACTATTCCTGAGACAGTGTGAGGGAAGTGAAGCAACCAACAAACCCATAAACTACACAAACTCGGATAGGAGAGCGGCATTCCTCGCTCTGAAAGTCCATGAAGTTAACTCAACCTTGAAATCAAGAATTGTTTCAAGCTTTTGACCACTGGAAGGGTTTGAAGAACTTGTCAAACTTAGAAGTAGCTTACGATAACTGAGCCACCCTGAAGCCCTTGCTAGATGCAGTCTTTGCATCCCAGTATCACCGTAGAAGCGCATAACCTAAGTAGCATTCAGCTAAGGAACCTAGCGATTTTCTTTAACGATACGTTAATCAAAGAAGACTTGTAATCAGGTTCTTTTTGTTTTAAAGAAAGAAAACTGAAACCGTGTCTATGAAACCGCTGTATCCACACGGCTGAACAGTCTTTCGTAAGACAAATTAATGAAAGATAGCAAGTTAGTTCGAAAGACTTATGTTATTCTAACACAAAGGCCTTAGATAAAAAGCTCTCTCATTCACCACTCGTGGTAAAAAGCTATTTTAAGAACTTGTTTTTCTTTTTTTTTAATTTACAGTTTTTTCCCTTTTTAATTTTATTCGGTTTTAATTTTTATATTTCATTGTTTTAAAAGAAAAAATATATTTCTTCTATTTTATTCAATTTTTAGGAACTTATTTTCTTCTTCTTTTAATATTTCTTTTTTGCTTAATTATATTCTAATTTTTAAATTTTTCTGTTTAAAAAAGAAAAAATATTTACGAGTTGTATATTTGGAGCTTTTGGGCCGTTGATTTTAAAGCAAAAACGTTGGTTTTTCTTTTCTGCCTCCTACGCGTTTCGACACATTATTGTGTCTTCCTCAGGGAGTCTTAACATAAAATCACATTAATTATTTTATGGACATCACATTTTTAAATTGACACTTAACATTTAAATACATCAATACTTTATCCCAGCTGTTCCTCTATTACTCGTTTCATTTAATTTTTAGTGTCTTGTTAAATTTTTTTAATTGTGGTTTCTGTTTTTTATAGGTTTAATTATCTTTTACTTTTAGATTTTGTTTTAAAAATAAAAATACCTTTTTTTTATTTAATTTTTAGGTATGTACTACTTCCTTTTTTTTGATAAAATTTGTTTCTTTTTCTAATTTTCTAATTTTAAATTTTATTGTTTTAAAAAGAAAAAGAAAATTTTTTGAATTTCATTTAATTTTTAAAAAATTTTGCTTTTATTTTTGCTTTGTTTTGATTTTGCATATTTTTATTTATTTTTGTTTTAATTTAATTTTCTTTTATTTGTTAGATTTTATTGTTTTGAAAAGTAAAATATGTATATTTATTTAATTTAATTTAATGTTTAAAAAACTTATTGCCGGAAGGTTAACAGATCTTTCAGTTTCGAGCGGCAGTAAACAGCTTTCAAGATAGGTACCGGAATTGGCAATTGTCTTACGAACGACTGTGGTGAGTTGAGATACAATTGCGAGAATTGCTAATTGAATACGGCTAAATAGCACTATTTTGTTCAACAATCACCAGTTGAACGCGAACTTCGAGTGATTTGTGTAAAACCCCACTGTGTGTGATGAAGGCCAATTGAAAACCGTATCCGATGACTTAATGCAATTACGATCGCCCCGTACGCCGGCTTCACCCATACACCGACCCGGCGCTGAGTTGTCGGTATTCACTTTTACCCAGCCAGCGCGCTGTCAAGACTGGTCGGCGATTTATGGAATTCTCAAGTCGTTAGCAAGTCGCATAGATGAGTGTTTGAGAAAAATTTTTGGCCGCGATGAAAAGCGAAACTTTTCTGACTCTTCCAAGCAGTCACTGAAACCTAGTGACCAGCTAAAGATGATGCTATTAAACGGCCAAAAACGTACGCAAAAATATGTAAAAGAGTCTGACACATCTGCATATATGTACATATATAAGAGGCGGGATTCCTCGAATAAGGCTGCCGATGGCTCAGCCATTTTACTGTAGAAAAGATCGGTAGACTCAATACAAGAATGACTCAATCCTATACATGATAGTTCATTAAATAGATTTTCGTAGGTAGCTATATAGGTGCCTTTAATACCTAAAGGCTTCGCATCTGACGGTTACCTGAATGCATTCGGACAAAGTGAAATATTTTAGTTTGATCGTTCTGTCAAGGGTACCGAATGTTGGGGAGAGGGCTAGTAAATAATTCTACTGAGGAATTTTTCTCAAATCAATTACGTTTTTCAAACATTTGGCATTTTGTGGGAAAATAATTTGGCTTAAAACTCTTAAAGCGTTGGAAATATAAATGCAAGGTAAAGCTTTCCTTAAATAAATGACATTATTATTAAAATTCAATGGAAAAGATATCCATGTGTCCTTCGATATTAAAAATTGTTTACTTTAAAATATAAATCAATAGAATCGGCCCGGTAAGCACAATATTTGCTTACAATCTCACAAAAAACAAGCAACAAGCACACTCCTACATATTTTATTTGACCCACATAAAAATTTGTGTTTACATTTCCTTTTACACTCATCGTAAGCTCTTTAATGTTTACCCTTTTACTTTGGCTACAACCATAGGGATTTATGCTGACAGCTCAGCAACAGGTACGTAACTTCTAGAATAGCATATTCATCTTCAGTTGGCAGCATCGAATGCGTTTGTGGTGCGTTGGTGGCAACAACTTGTTGATTCGCCTTTAAAGGAAATTTATGTCAAATTCTGTTTGTGCGCACGTACATACATATGTGTCCGTGGTTGAAGGTGTATTGTGCACAAGTTGGCAAATATAGAAAAGGAAATGTATGTACATATTTATATAAACAGGGAAACAACAAATTTAGCGACGTTCACATTTATTTATTTTCTTGTTGATTGCTTTGCTAAACTGCTTGCGCTACGCATTACTCATTGAAAATTTTAAATTATTGCACTTAGTTGGTTTTGTGCTCGCTTCTGTCGTTTGCAAAAGATTTCTACTTTTTACTCATACAAAATACATACATACATACACTGCCGGCAAAAAGTATTGGCACAGCAAATTTTTCACAATATATGCAACAAATTTTTTTCTAATATTTTTCCGCTAATTTTTAATAAAAATGAGGTTCATTCTACAACAAAAAACATAAAAATATAACTCCTAAGCATTGTGCAAAACGCGCGAAAATTCAGCAAATTTTCATGCAAATTTTCAACTTTTTAATCAGATTTTTTAGAATTCTTTTGAGTATGCAGCCCATTAAATTCTAGGGAAAAAGTGCAAGTTCGGAGTTAGTAAAAAATCGCATTGGTTTTTGAGATTTTTTTTTTTTTGTTGAAGGTGTTTTGCATTTTTTCCATATACGGGCATGTTCTGAAATTCGAAACTTTGAAAAGAAGCAGCAGCGATATGAAATAAATCATTTTAATGCGAGACTTGCAAATTTTTGGGTTAAAAACCATCGAAAAAATTATCGAAATCGAGTCGATTTAAAGTTTTCGAATTTCAGAACATGCCTGATAAAGTATTTTCGAACAAATTTTTTGTATGGAAGAGACTGCTAGAAAAAGAATTGCCAAAAATCAACGGTAATTCCTAGCTACCTGAAACTTGTACTATATCTACAAATCTGCATACTCAAAAAAATTCAAAAAAATCTGATTAAAAAGTTGAAAATTTGCATGAAAATTTGCTGAATTTTCATGAGTTTTGCCTAAAGTTTAGGAATTATATTTTTAATTTTTTTTGTTGTAGACGGAACCATATTTAAAAAAAAAAATTGGCGGAAAAATATTAGAAAAAAAAATGTTGCATATATTATGAAAAATTTGCTGTGGCAATACTTTTTGCCAACAGTGTATGTATATAGTAGAGAGTGAACGGATAATAATAATAATAATAAAAATAATAATAGATTGGCGCTTACACATATGTTAGTGTTTGGCCGAGCCGAGTGAGCGGATATCTGGCCTAAATTTACCATTCGACTGGATACCGGATATTGTGTTACTAGATCGGCATTGGTTGATCTTTAGAAATATATCGTCATTTAAAGTACAAAACCGCGTAACTGACATTGGCTGCCAAACATTGGATTTACTCACACAAGCTCTTGGCTCAATCCTTATCCATTCGTCCTAAAATATGCTAGCCAGAAATGCAATTGCTTCATAAAAAAGGGAACCATTTTGTGTA